TATACCAGTTTTATTTGATGATCATTACATTTTCTAAAAATGTACTTGAATGCAAGGCCTATTCAACTGCAATGCTGCCAACTTGTTAAACCCTGCTATCAGTTTCAATCTAGGTTAATAGATTTAACACTAGTGAAATAGTTACTGCACATTAGTTAGCCTGATTTCACTCTAAAAGTCAAATAACTTTTCACAATAGCTAATGATGAAAAATCATTTAAATACACAGTAAAACTATAGTACAGTAGCACATATGTATCTAAATTAAGTAACCTATTTACATCCATACTCCCATTTTTGAAAAGTTTCACCTTTCTTGGAGGTGAAATATAGGAAAATATGTGGAAAAGCAAAATGGGCAAAATCCTGACAATATTTGTCCATAAAATGACCTATTTGTATCAAGGGTTGGCATGGCTAAGGTTTTGAAAGTTTGGAACTCATAATAGGCAAAGCACATAGGACAAGTATAGTTGAAAATATTTATGTAAAATGGATTTACAAATCTGTTAACAATAAATAAAAGAAAAAGGACCGCTTTTCATTTCTTCAATACAATAATATTGTCGTCGTCATTTCTGAATTCCAGGCTATAGATTTTATAGTAAACATTATTGAAAGATTACAGTTTCATATATTCTCCAGTTAACTACATGTTGTCATGTGATTCTTTCTTACTATGACAGCAAAATGAAATATAGTACATTAATTCCATTCTTGAGGAAAGCTTTATTAATGGGAGAATTATAATTTTGAAATAGAAAATTAGAGCTAGAGTACCTCAAGAAAAGTAAAATAGATTTTCCTTTTGTGCAGAAAGTATATACTGGAAGCAAATATGTAGTATTGTCTTGAAAAAAAACAGACATGAAATGACACAAGTTTTTTTTTTTACTAATGAAATATGTAGAAACTGAAATACTATATTATATTTGAAGGAATTGGTCAAATCAGGGGATTATTGACAGAAAATCAAGACCATTAAACAGAGCAAATCCTTTCCTTATAATTGCTTAATCTTCACTCTGTGTCCAGAAGGTTGTCTAACAGCACTTCCATCTATATAGTTGGTCCAATAAAAGATAGCACCAAAAAACCTTGCTTCTCACATACAGCCATGGAGGCAATGTAAGCTCGAATGGAGGTAGAATGACTATGGTACTGGGAATCAGGATTTTCCTTGGTCTGATCCTGGGCCATAACGCAACTGAATTGTGTGTTATCACTGTCAACCTCTCTGGACATAGTTCTGAACTGGTCTACGCTGCAATCCAGAAACATGATTGTAACTTGTGTAGATGTACCCAAGCTGCTCTCAGGTGCTAATAGCTGTCTTTGGATTTTGGGTAAGTACTTGGCAGCTGGAGTTCATTCGACCCCCAGCTAAATTGCTACTGTGATTTAAACTAGTCAGCTGAAAGCTACTCAAGGTATGTCTATGCATAATACAATCACAAGTTTGAATTGCAGTGTAGACACACACATAGGCCACACCAGAGTCACTGCATAAGACACTATTTCAAGTCTAGTGCTGACACTTCCACTGTCTTCAGTAAGGCCAGAACATCCCCTATAGGCCTGCTTCCCTATCTATGGGATGTGAATGCTGCTCCTTACTTTCCTCATGAAGTTAATTTGAAAATTTGTAAAGCACTTGAAAATAGTATTATTTTAAGCAGATGAATTCTAAGATCTTTGTCTTTCATCACTTTATCCATTTTTATACAGTTTGTATGTTTAGCTTAGCACTCATAATTTAAATCCATATGTTTGTGAGGCTATGTGGATTATTTTTTTCTATATTGATTTTCTTTCTACATTGATTTGTGCTTTTGTTTAATATTTTTGATCAGATATCAGTTTTTGTTTAGAAAACACTGCAGAGACACACATTCTTTTCCTTGTTAAATGAGAAAAACAGTTTAATTGCCTTGGGGAACAAACCAACAGCATTTAAACTTGCAACCTTCCATTATGAAGTCAAGCATCCATTCATTCTACTAGTGGTAACAGAATGGTGATTTAAAAAAAAAAAAAAAAGGAAAAGGAATATATTAGTCCTTACAAAGCTGG